ATTATTAAATTAAAATTATTTTCTTTATATAACTCTGTATGTTACAATCATAAGTCTTGTAACATACGGACCAGTATCATAACGATACTGGATTTCAAAAGAGTTTACTATTATCTTCTCAAAAAGGAGTTTATAATTTTTATCATCTACACAACTGCCTTTTTTAGAGATCTCTCCTGAATTAGACACCTCGCTTCGACACGACCTTTTCTTGGGTCCAGAAGTTTCTGTTCTTATCTTATTGGTGGGCTTCCTGTATATCAGAGGTTGGAATGGCTTAACTATATCATGTTAATAATTACCTAATTGAGTGGACTTACATCTGTATGAATAATTCTGTGACTATCTGAACTTACAAGTAACCCTGCACCTTCCTCTCATGACTCCGTATAGCAACATGTGACGGATTAGTCAGTCTGATTTAATCTATTCTTATAGCTTGAAAAATTATAGATTTACTCTAAAAATTAAGTTACTCTATAATAATTTTACCAGTGAAATCCAGTAAAGCTACAAACGAGAAGACAAAAAAGAAAGGTTTACTAATAACAAAAAGTAATAAAACTTGCGATGCGAATTCTTACTAACAATAAAGGCATAAATTGATTTAATCATAGGTCAAATTTTGACATATTCAAATTTGTTTTGGGCAGGAAAGCCCATAATGCACTGATTTTTGGTTAAACTTACAAAGACAACACTTTCTTATAGCGTTCTTATATCCAATAAAAAAGAAACCTGTTTTTTTTTCAACTTTCATCCCGAAATCGAAGTTTTTTCATAATTTGTGACATAAAATACAGCATTTTAATTAAACCCTGTTCTTGTATTTTACAAGCTGTCCACGCGTAGTGTTGAAAAGATATAGAACTTTTTTATTTTTCATTTTATGTAAAAAACTAATTTTTCTTAAAAAATTTTGCTTTTGTTGAATGGTAGAAAATTGTTTTAAGTGTACCAATTTATACAGGGTATCCTCTACAAAGAAATGATTTAAAATACAGTAAGATATTACATCAGTTAGAATATGTTTAATAGGTACCGGGCATCCATAGATCGTCTTAACCTACCTTGTATAATTAAAATCCTTTATAGCATATTTTTACCTCTTAACAACTATTTAGGCCCTAATATTTTCTTTGTAGTTTGGTCATTTTTTATTTCAAAAAGTTTTTGTGGGAAAGATTAGGTATTTATAATTAAAATTTATACAGGGTGTCCGGAAATTATGCGTCAAGACTTCAGAGGGTCTTCACAAAAATTAGGGTCACAAAGTCCTATAACAATTTTTCGAAAACTCAATATTAACGGAGATACAGGCTGTCAAAAAAAAATTTTTTTTTAGTTTTTCTTAGGTAACTTTTTTATTTGTGATTTGATTTTTTCCAAGTCATTCCTATGTATTACTAGTGCCCTTGTAGATTTCTGTTCCAAATATGATGCAAATATTCCCCTGCGAAAGGGCCTAACCTAACCTTAATCTTCGATCCATGGCCCACAACTTTTTTGTTTTCACCACTTCATAAGTTTCAGCAGCACCATGTTAAAAAGGATCTCTTGTTGCGATACAATAAAATGAACCGTTTCTGAGAAAAACGACTTCAAACATTTTTATGTGTTAACGCTGTTTTAAACCGATATTCACAGCTCCAACTCATCAATACAAAATTTATTCACTAACTACATTATTAAGTAACATTTTTATTTAGTCTATGCTCTTATAATAAGTTCTCGAAATGTTGTCCTTCCATTTCGACACACAAATTTATTCTTCTCAGAAAGTTGCGACGAACCCTGAAGAATATGCCCTATTTTGCTCTTATTATTGCAAGACTGTCAATAATTCGTTGCCTTAGCTCTTCCACGTTATTCACAGGCCTTCTGTATACCAGTGACTTAACATAGCCCCAAAGGAAAAAGTCGATCGGGTTCAAGTCGGGCGATCTGGCAGCCCACTCTATGAATCCACCACGCCCTATCCACCTCTCAGGGAAAATTTCATTGAGGCGCTCTCTCACCGTTAAACTGTAATGAGGCGGTGCACCATCATGCAGCAGCCACATTGCACGTCGCACTCCAATAGGAACGTTTTCCAACAAAACTGGCAGATCATTTTGTAGAAAGTGTAGGTAAACCTCACCACCAAACCTTTGAGGAAAGAAATGTGGTCCAACTAAATGATCTCTCACGATGCCAGCCCATACATTCACAGAAAATTTATTCTGGATAATTGTCTTGCAAAAATTCAGTCGTGCAATCGGACCTCTAGGGAGTAGGGCTTGGACCTTTTGATACTGGAATGGATGCAGGAGTTGTTCCTGCAAAATTTCATGGAATGGGGAATGTTTTCCTGCGATGCAATCAACCTGACGCTTATATCAGGATTATTATCAACCACATCCAAAACATGAACGTTTTGCTCTTGATGCATTTACCGCAGTTAAGCCATAATAATAATGCATGTTGCGCAGCTCCTCATTCGAATATTTATTATAATTATTATTGTCATTATTATTATTCATTTTATCAGTTTTAATCACGATACTTATTACACACAAATGATCACAACAGAATAATTCACATAAATATTATCTGTCAAAAGTAGCTAAGGCAACATTAAGTTATTGTTTTACAAAGCCTCATTTGTAAATCTTGAAAATCAGTTTAAAGCAGCAGTTAACACATGAAAATGTTTGAAATGGTTTTTCTCAGAAACGGTTAATTATATTGTATCGCAACAAGAGATACATTTTTAATAATTTTTATATTCTTTAACATGGTGCTGTTCAAATTTATAGTGATGAAAACAAAAAAGTTGTGGGCCATAGATCGAAGATTAAGGTCAGGTTAGGCCCTTTGGCAGTGGAATATTTGCATCATACTTGGAACATAAATCTACAAGGGCACTAGTAATACATAGGATAGACTTGGAAAAAATCAAATCACAAATAAAAAAGTTACCTAAGAAAATATATAAAAAAAAAATTTTGACACCCTGTATCTCCGTTAATATTGAGTTTTCAAAAAATTGTTATAGGACTTTGTGACCCTAATCTTTTGTGAGGAATCACCTCCTGAAGTCTTGACGCATAATTTCCGGACACCCTGTATACATATGCCAAATTTGACAATCTTTTAATTTTTTGATTTGATAAATCATTGAATTGTAAAAAATCTAAACAGCATCTGTTTTTTTCGATCTCTTTAAAAAAAATTAAAATCAAAGTCCCAGTGCTTCTAAATTTACAATACGGGAATAAAATTTAATTCTTTCTTTGGTTTACATATATGTCATACGAAAAATGCAGTTTACCTACACAGATATATTTTTCTGTATAAATACATAATACAAGCAGAATCGTCCCCCAAATTATAAAAATTCCGTTCAAAAATTGTTTGCTGTGACACAAATGATTAATACGTTCTGGGGGTCCAGTGTAGGAAAATGATTGATTATTTATGTGGTCCTTAAGTGGCATCGTGTGTTATATTCTAAGGATAAAATCAATGACTATACATACTTTTAATTGTTATTTAATAGGCGACACCCTGTGGAAGTTTTTGTCTGTTTGAACAAAATCAGAATTTTTTATCAAGAATTACACTCAATTTTGAGAAAATCACCCCTAAATTGTGTAAATTCCTCTATATGTGATGCTAATGGGGTGTAATCGCGTGTAAACTATATCCTTACGTACTTTGAGGCGCTGAATTTAATTCCTTAGTCAGAGTTATTCCATCGACACCAAGCTTTTATAAAACCACCCCTAAATCCACGATTACACCCCCTTAACATCACATATAAAGGAGATTTGGTCCGAGTGCAAGGTCACTTTTTTGTGTGCAATAGGGTGTAACGTAAAGGTTGGGAATAAATTAAACGATGGATTTTTTTTTAAATATGAAGTTATGCTCTACGGGTTTTCTTTTCCAAGCTGCAGGACGCTAAAAAGTTTCAAAAAATTTAGTTTTTCTCCAATAACGTTCGAACATTATAAGATAATGGAACGAAATTTTAGCCTTAGATTAATTTGATAATCCCCTAGTAACAGGAAGAAGATTGACTGTAAGTTACTCAGTGGCGTGCGTACGGATTGTACCGTAAGGTTTTTCGAAGAAAATTGTTGTACGCCACTGGTAAAAACATTTTTTTAATATTTTTTTATGATCCACTTTTTATTTTAAACAAAATTACCCTCTTGCGTTTTATTTCTAGCTCTTGTAATTTTTCCGCAAATAAAACTTTTGTAAATTTTGACTCAGCCACTGAACATGATCAAATAGGCATTGAAAAAAGACTTGCATTGCATTGCATTGAAAATGATATTAAAAAACTAAATTTTTTGACATTTTTTAGCTTGGAAAAGAAAACCCGTAGAGCATAACTTTATATGACAAATATTTAGTTTTTAAAATAAAAAATCCACCGTTTAATTTATACCCAACCTTTATGTTACACCCTGTATAGGAATTTGCACACTTTAGGGGTGATGGAACAATGCTGACTTCGGATTCGAATTCAGCATGCCAAAATGCATAGAAATCAGTAGGTTTGGTCCGAGTGCAAGACCACTTTATTTTTTTTGTATGCCTCTCTAATCAATCCGTACTTGAACCCGCAAAAAAGATGCGCGATGCGCTGTAGATGGTGCCCTCTATTAGTGACATCAAAACTATTAATAAATTTGAATTTGTCGTCTCAAAAGTTTCTCGATTTAGCTGATTTTTCTCAACTGGTTCCACCCAAATTAAAGTCTGAGTGCTGCCGGTACACATCTAAAGACCACCTCTCGATAACGCATACAAACAAGGGAAATTACGATTTTTCGGTCTCTCCACCTGAAGATGTTCCACCTCTAACTAATCTAATCAGTACTTCACATTCTGACTAGTCCTTGAAGATTACATGCTCACGCACAACATCAATTGCGTTGGCTGTTTGTGCAATTAAAAAAAAGCATGTAGTACCCTCATTGTTCGAAAACAGAGCACAACGATCGCCAAGATAGTGCAGCACATGTAGCCCCCAAAGACAAATAAATAAGTTGATAAAAAGTGAAATATGACAAGACGGGTAAATACGGTGAGTCTCAAATGTCACGATAACAAAATCACGTCAGTGAGAACAGTTTACCTTAGCTCGCAGAAAAAACATGACATATTATTTTATAATTAATTTGCCTGGGTGCGCTAATTCGGCGACAAAACAGAAATTATTAATAATTTGTTAGCGGGCTAGTGCGAATTGTTAACACATTTTTGTCCTTATAATGTCGCCTCGATAAGTGTCGGACTAGTGATACGTTTACTGTGGGTGATTTAGTTTCTTTAATATGAATTCGCCAGAGCTTAAGGCTAAGCTGCTAGTCGACGCTAAGCTGCCTTCTATTCTTCCGCCTTTGCCGACGAATGGCCAGCTAACTCCGGGGATATATTATGGAAGTTACCCCTCCACGCCCAGCCAAAAGAGCAAGTAGGTAACACTTCTTGTATATTGCTAAATAGTCTACGCGTAGTTTTACATCCCAAGTTTCAACACTTTTGGGGGCTCCTCGCTTTCCTCGAAAAGATGTAGTAGCCATGGGTTAAATTTTTATGAAAATTTGTATCTAAAACCGCTCCTTTATAAGTTTAAGAGATAAAAAGCGTTCTTAAATTATGGCCGTTGTCTTTGATGTCCTATAACTTTTTTATTTGTGGGAATTTCTAATTTTGGTAACGAGGTTTCTCAAACAATTTTTAGCGTAGCGTGGTCCGTTATAGTTGCCCCCTCCCCATCTAACTCTCTTATTACAATATATGGAAAAAAGTGTATAAACATTTGAGTATTTTTTATGTAGTTTATCATGGCATTCTTAGAAGTCTCATAAACTGTCACGTTTTTGACATATGAAAACAAGTAAGGCTTTTTTTAAACGGAACACCCTGTATATTTTTTAGATTTTTTAAATCTACGTATTCTTCTGAATCTAACCATACAGATTTATCATATATTCCCTTCAAAAACTTTAAAAAGAAAATTTAGGCATTGTGCTAGGAACGAAGATATAGAATTGAATATTTTATTACAATTTCATGAAAATCCCGAAAAGTCTACTAGAGAAGCAGAACGTGATATGGACATCTCTAAGATACTAATTGCAAGAATTTTAAACAAAAATAAATTTAAGGAAGTTTATCGGGTACGGAGGTAAAGTCTAACGAGAGTTTCTGTAGATTCGCTAGTAACTAAAGCAGTAAGCCTTTAGATTTATCAACGTTGCACTTGGCTGGCTCGCTCGCCTCGGTGTTCGCTCGCTCGCGTTCGATCATTCTGTTTGCTTGGACACCTGCAAATTTCAAATAATACGCTACGTCGAGACCGCGGCGTTGCCGCTATCACGCATATGGAAGATAAGTTAGTCAACGACAGCAGTTTGAAGGAGAATTATTATAAATTATGTGTCTTACAAGTACCTAATCGATTTCTACGAGTTATACGGTTCCTTAGATATCGGTTTCCTATTTATACAAGTTGATGTGGAAACTGTTCGTCAATTGTTGCGCATTCTAAGTGGAAAGACAAAAAAATGTGCATTTTCATAACACTTCATACTAAATCGTGAAAAATTATTTTATTAATATCTCGTCTCTTAGGTATCCAAACTAGTCATAATTTTGTTTGAGGATTTTCTTCATATTAATAAGCTTATATTAATTTTTTTATGAATATTTGTTTGTTAATTCCAAATCAGATAAACCTCCTTAAGCCGGTTAAGTGCCTCCCAGTGCCTCAATTAATGAAAATGCAAATAAATTCTCGAAGAGCGAATGCAGCTTATATGTTGCAACGTTTAGAAAATGATAGAACTTTTTTTAGAAAAATACTATGGACTGATGAGGTAACATTTACCACACGTGGGTTATATAACAGAAAAAAACTCGCATTACTGGGCTACTGAAAATCCACCATGTTACTGAAATCAAATTTCAAAACATAGCCACGTTTAGAGTGCGATTATTTAACAAAAAATTTCAGGTCCTATATTTTATAGCAGAATTTAAATGGCCAATTATATTTAGAATTCTTAACAAACCTTAGTGAGCCAATGTTGGAAGAACTTCATTTAAAGATGTATAATAATAGTGTATTTCACCATGACCGAGCTGGACCTCGCAATATACAAGCAGTTAGTAATAATTTAAATAATAATAATTTCCCTGAGTCGACTGGAAGGCGAGGAACAGTAAGTTGGGCTGCAAACAGTCCAGATCTTTCCCCTTTTAGATACTTTTTTTGGGGATATTTAAAAGAAATTGTTAATAATAATATTACCTTAGAAATACTCGTAGATAGGCTTAACGCAAATCCAGGAATCATAGGGAACTGTATTCGAAATTTAGAAAAGAGATTATAATAATTCTAAGAATGCCATAATTTTAGAGTTCCTTATATAGTTTACATAAGGAACACTAAAATTTTTGTGTTTAGGTACACTTTTTTCAATATATTATAACAAGGGAGTTAGATGGGGGGGGGGGGCAATTATAACGGACCACCCGGTATATGTTATTTTACTATAACTTACTTAGATCTTTCAGTTGTTATAACACAAGCATATGTTCTTTTATAATGGAGCACCCTAAATATTTTTCGATTTTTTCGAAGATAAAATCTTTCAAATAATGAATCGCACACGGTGTTTGAGATACAAGCTTTTTGAGCAATTAAATATTGAAAACAATTATTTTCGTAGAAATAAGTATGCTATTTTACTCCGAAACCAAATAGTAAAAGCTAGGCAAAAACTAGCTTTACTGTTAAGAAAATAATAATAAAATAAAACATTTCTGCATTAGGGAGCTATTTTATATTTCATCCTAATTGTCAACTTGTGTGTTATTTATTAGCTATATTTAAGGATTTATTCACCTTTTTTTATTTAAAATTTCATTATATAAAATTATTTTAAATTTAAATTAAATAATAATAATAATAATAATAATAATAATAATATCTCTACTCCTCATTCTAATTACGAGAATTAGCCCATAAGTCGGAGACTTGTGCGGGAGAGGAGGCGGCATATTATTATTAGGCAGGCCGCATTTGCGCCCAGGAACGACTTATGTTGGTAGGCCCTAACCACCATTTAATGCAGGAATGAGGGAAACCTGGAAAACCTCATTAATTAGGGGGGTG